TGTGTGTGTGTGTGTGTGTGTGTGTGTGTGTCTCAGTAGCTACATAGCTGCGTTGTTATGGCTAACGTCATTGGGAATAATTCTCTCGTTAAAGGGAGGGAGCGCTCATCGTAACGCTGGAGGAGGTTTCTGCTGCAAGTCTATTGCTCTGGATGCAAAAAACGTGGTGAGAGCAGAGCTGAAAACTAAAACAAGACAGGGGGGGCAGCATCAGGACACACCTAAAACTTTATGTTTGATTAATATACGGATCTTTTTCAAATGAAAACACAGTTAGAAATATCTGACAGATAAAGGATGACGTCCCGGGCCATAAATAAAACACGATTCTTTAAATAAACTCTAAGAGATGTACACATGTATATTGCAAGAAATACACAGATAAAAAAACWGCATTTCTGCACTGTGGTATGTTAGTAATTTAGATAAATACTGTTGAAAAGTTCTCTCCATGAAACGGTTACTCAGCAGTGTTCTTAGTTTGGTTTTTGTGTCTCTGGTTTCACATGAAAATATAGAAATCTTTGTCGTCGTTTGTGAAAAAAGCCGTACAAAGGTCACTTAAAAATGAGAAAGAGGCAAAAAAAAAAAAAGGTCCAGGAAACCCTGAAACCCTCTGTGTTCTAGTTGCAGGGCTCAGCGTTCCAAAGGAGTCCCCCTCCAAAGCGTGCTGGCTGTGTTTGGCCCCCTGCTAGTCGAGCGGCCCCTGGAAGATGAGTCTGATGAAGCCCTGCTCGCCGCTCAGCTGCTGGGCGCAGAAGGGGCAGGCGGCGTGGAACGTGTGCGTGCCGTGCGGGAGCGGGATCTGGCTCCAGAAGGCCGCCGTCTTGTCCGAGCAGACGTGTCCGCAGGGGCTGAAGGCGTGAGTGGGCGGAGCCGCGTCCACGTAGAAGCCCGCCTCGCAGCCCAGCCACAGGGGCACGTAGGGGCCCCGGGCCCGGCACATGGGGCACTCCCTGAGGCGGCCCTCGCGGCCCTCYCGCTCGTTGCCCCAGTCGTGGTAGCCGTGCACGTGGCCGCACTGCAGGTACACCCAGGGCTGCTTCTCGTCCGGCGTGTCCTTGCGGCGCATGGAGGGGAAGGCCAGCGTGTTGAAGCCCACGGGGCACTGAGGCCGAGCCGCGTTGATCTCCTGCCGCAGCGCCTCCAGGTGCTTGAGGGTGGGGGTGCGCGCCAGGCCCTCKGCCGTGCGCCACAGCAGGGTGGCGCCGCAGAGGTCGATGAGGGAGCCGTCCACCAGCTCCTGAGTCTCAGTCTCCACCTGGAACACAACCACACGCGTCAGGCAGGGAGTTCAGAACATAAACCCTTGAAGGTTCAGCTTTTACAAATAAATCAGCTCCTTTTTCTCCAAACCGCCTGTTTCGTTCTTTATTCTGTGTTTGGTTTGATTCGCTGCCTCCAGCTGCTTCCAAACACACAGAGCAGGAAGAACCCAGAGCAGAAGCCCTGAAACAAACAAATATTGTTGTTCGTATTTAACAGTTGCTTCCTCTGATGAAACTCACCCAGACTGAATTATTTAAGAACATTAAATAGTTTTAGTTCCTTTCAAAAAAGTTTTTTTTAAGTTCAAATAAATAGATATCAAATTCTTTCAGGAAAAAAACTAGTTATTTGTTTATTTGTCAGGGACCATGTACAGAAAAAACTACAGACGTAGCAGTGTGAATGCTTCATGCTGAAAGGTTTTTGATGGGTAGCTAAAGAAAAAAATGCTGAAACTAGCCTAAATATAGCTGAAATTAGCACAAACAAAAACAGAATGAGGCCATGTTTGTGAATGGAGCAGTCAGAAGCKGGAATTATTACAAAAAAGGTGAATTTAGCTGAAAAAAACTCAAATTAGGTAAAATGTACCTAAAACCACAAAAAACAGCTGAAAGAAGCATAAAAGCCTAAAATAACATAAAGAAACACAAAAACGTTGAAATTATCAGAAAAAAAGCCAGAACGATAGCTAAAAAAAGAAAAAAGAAAAAAAAAAGGTAAAATCAGCAAAGTAAACGAAGCTGAAATGATTGAAAATGAGTTTTAAAAACACACTGGAGGGACCATGTTTCTCAGCTGGCCTGGGAACACCTTGGGATTCCCCTGATGRGCTGGTCCAAGTGGCTGGGGAGAGGGAAGTCTGGGTCTCTTAGACTGCTGCCCCCGGGACCCGACCCCCGGATAAGCAGAAGAAAATGAACAGACGGAGAGTAAAAAACGCATAACTACAACAAAAAGTAAATGGCACAGTAAAGATTTATAACAACGCTGAAGGGTTTTAAGGATGTTGAACACAGCTCTGTTCATATTCAATGAGAAAAACATGGCAGAAAAAACTCATATCTCAGAAAGGATAAACTGCTGAAATACAAAAACTCATAGCCAGAAAGTCCTGAAGGAGCTGAACGTCTTCATACTGCAGAACGAGATACATGCCKAAAAAATGATCTCTCTATCTTATGATAGTGTGAAAGCTTTAATGACACAAGTACAAAATGAATAAAACATAACTGACGTCTCTTTATACAAAATACACAAATGCAAAAAAAGGTGCACAAACTCCAATTCTATACAAAACCCTAMAATATGTTAAAAAGTTAAAAATCAATGCCGATAGTTGGGTGTCCTAAAAACCTTTTTTTTTTCTTTGATCACATACTTTGTGCTGGCCTTCAGGTCTGTGTGGAGCTTCTCCCAGTCTAACCGTTTGGGCCTTGTAGGACAAAAACTACGAGTCAAAAAGTAGGTTTATGTTCAGGAATACTGCACTCCCGTTTAGAGGTGGTCCTCGTTGTTCTTTTGCTCGGGGGTCAGAYGAACAAAYGATTTTAAAGGCAGAGAACCGTGTTTGATTTTAAATACATTTGCAAATGTCCTCCTATTTTCAAAACTCAACAGTTACGTCTGGAGAGTAARTTACACTGGTGTTAATGATGTGTCCTCCTGTCCAAGACTTTAAGAGCTTGTTTATATTCAAGGGGATTCAAAGTTCTGTTGGCTTAAAACTAACATGAGATACAGTCACCACATAAAGAACATTTCTGATGCATCTAAMGTTCATAAGAGTGTAATTCAAAGTGTGTGTCATTTGGTTGACATGTTTTTAAAGCTAAGTGTAGTGTCTAAAACTAAGCCCAAATATTTGAGCTCAGTGACATTTTCTACTGCATATTTATACATGGATAATCCTCGTATTTTTGTTTATTGGTGAAATACATTGTAACAGTTTTTCCTACATTTAGAATAAGACATGACTCATTCAGCCACAATACGACTGTCTCTATGGTTGCTGACAACGTAGCTGCCACTTTCTCTGTATCTTTTCTGTCTACATCATTATCTATAATATCAACAACAATGCYGCAGATGTTTATAAATATTATAGATAYTTATAGCTGGTAYAAATGTTTAGATGCCAGCTTCTCCTGGTGCTGTGCTGTGGTTGTACGGTAGATTTGTGCAGTACAGCTCTGAGCACAGCAGAGGGCGGCGTAACACAAACAGCCCTGCCTCTAATTCAGACAGATGTGTCAGAGAGGGGTGGGAGGGGGCAGGAGACTGACAGCTGGGGGGCAAGATGACACAGGAAACTGAAATGCGGGCTGCAGGAGGGTGGAGCTGTGTATTTTTTTCCCTTTCTTTTTTTAATGTGTACAGTGTCAGGGAAGCACTCAGTTTGGTTTACAGTGATCAGACCGAGCGGGAAATTCCATGTTTAGATAAGCGGAGCACATGAGGACGGGAGGGAAAAACAGATGGAGAGGAGTGGAGGAGGAGGGAGAGGAAATAACTTAAACCAAAAGGTGATGTAAGGATGAGACTAGGAACAGCTTCTGGACTGACGTGTTCGTCCTGCTGACAGTCAGTGACTCTCATGGATCCTGGGAATCATTCCTGACTAAATGTACTGTATGTTCTAATGTACAGTATGTATGTATGTATCTAATAAAACAAAATAAAAAAGAAAACCTGTTTGTCTTTATGGTACTCTCTCATTCTCATAGCTGGATGAGCTCTGCACAGCCCCACTGTCTCCCCGTTTCATTAAATRACATGAAACTGGATCATTCATCTGCACCAAAGCTTGTATTAAACACAACAGGAGGGTGAACGCTGCTCTCTGCTCCCTTATTATCTTCCACAAAAGCTCCCACAGCAGGCGCTCTGCGACTGCATGGACACCATCGGGAGGGAAGATGTCTGTATTTATGTTCATYTCAACACTGACACTTTCAGAACCGTCCCGATTATTGGCCTGAATCTTCAGCTCAAAACCGAACGAGTCAGCAAATTTGTTTCACCAGCATAGGATTAAAAACACTAAAGTGAACTCATATTTAACTACATGAGTATTTAATCTGTTTATCATTAGGGAGCTACTGGCCGATTACAAACGGTAAGTAATTTGAAGTTGTCCAAACAACAAAACAAAAAGCACATCTTGAATTAAAATGAGCATCAACCTGGTACCTGCTACTGAATAAACCACTGTTACAACATCRGTGTCATAAATGCATCTTTGTCAAATAACTAAAATGAAAAACAAATAAAAAAAATCTACTTATCTACACAGCACCTAGCCTGGCCCTTGCCTTCCTACGCAGCTCCGCTCAATTCTAGTTTCGTTTCTCTGCTCCGTCTGGGACTTCTCCCATCGACAAGGATTTCGCTGGCAGATTTTTAGCCGAACCAATCAGAGAACAGAACGTTGATTTTCTGCGCAGTGTCTGCTTGTAGTTATTTTACCTGGACCAATCAGCAAACAGAAGGAGGAGTTTTGAATGATGTCGATGTTCTGCGCAGTGTCTGCTAGTTATTTTAGCATACGGCAGTGAAGGAAGTGAATGAAGCCAGWCTGTGTTGATAAGGCTTCCAAATTAAATTAAATTTGTCTGACAAAGCAGCAGCTCTCATTTACTGTCGTCTCATTCAGCTCGGTACTTCTCTCCTCTCAGTAGGGTTGTTTACAGCGCTCGCGATTTCTGGTTAGCTTCTTAGCTTAGCCTCCTTCACAGCGACACACAGACTTCAGCAGAGGCCACGCCTCCTGCAAGAATCGCTTCTCTATAGCAGAGAGTCCAGACCCTCGTACGAAGCAAAGTGAAGGACAGGGTCTGGTTTTAACCAGGCTACACAGCACCAAGAGAGATCTAATTTTCTGCATTGCTAGTGTGATTTTATTTATTTGTTTATTTTTGTTGTTGTGTATAATTTTTTTTTATTTTTAAATGAAATGAATAAATGAAACAAATTAAAATAAATAAACTAAACTAAACTCCAAGCATACAACATGTATTTACCAGCTAAGAAATTATGATTTTGCATGTGACCCAGTTTACTGCTGATTTTAAAGAGAAAATCTGAACATACAATATACTGTATATTTCATTTTTAAGTGACCCATTGCCCTGATGCCGACCTGCTCTGTGACTCAGGTRGTTTCCTTCAGCTGAGGTTCATGCAGCACAGGTGGAGATTAAAGAGCTGTTCATTTGTGCTGTGATGGAGGTGGGGCAGCAGATAAAGAGACACATTAATATTACATCTGCTGAGTTTGCGCTCGTGGGTAATGATGTGGAGGAGGAGGAGGAAAAAAAGCATAAGACTTAATTAAACAAATGACCAGCATCCTGAATCCGGTCAAATAAGTGACTTGTGTAGATGACTGGCTGAGAGGATCCTGTACAGGTTTGACTCAAAGTGGAGAGGAGTGTTTCCCTCTCACCATCTTTCCCCGCTGCTGYGCCGAGCGGGTCTCTCTCAGGGTGAAGACGTTCCCGCAGACGGAGATCTCCCTCCACACTCCCGGCTTGGAGTCTTGCGTGAAGCCGTGGCGAGGGTGCATCACCAGAACGCCGTTGGTGGTCAGCCCGTCCATTTGACCRTCGCACGTCTTCCACTTAGCAGCTTTCTCCTGATCAGAGTTTAAAAAAAAAAAACTATAGGTTTAGGATGAAGCTGCAGCTTGAAGTAATCTGACTAAATGATGAAGTGCGACTGGTTCTGATATCACAGCCAGCATGAAGCACCAGACGGGACGTTTCTCACCCCCAGGAAGATGTTCTTMGAGGAGTCAAAGCCTGCAGCGTAGATGCGAGCTGCGTAAGGCGGCRTGCGCTGACATATGATGCGGCAGGCGAAGCGGGAGATGGTGCTCTGGACCGACTGAGTGTCTGCGTTGCTCTGGCTGCCGGCCACCGTGTCCGTCACCACGAAGTCTATCGGACTCTCCGTGGATCGACCGATCTGGCGAGAAAGAGACAGAAGAAGAATTAGGGGGGAAATAATGCGCAGCCATGAGTTAATGTGTTATTATTCATCTTCTGTCTGGGGAAGCTGGCAGGAACGCGATGAAAATAGAAAGCATAAAAAGAACCTGCAGAGTTTATAAATATAGAACAAAAAGGTCTGAGCAGTCTCACAAAAGCAAAAAAAAGGCAGTTTGAATAAATCTGCTGCGTGACGACCTTGAGGATATTTTTATTTAACATCACAGCAGAGCAGAAATCACAGCTCAGCTCAGCCTCCCACAGAGTTAATGTTGGCCAAGAACGAGATAACTTTAGAAAAACTGTATGAGTCCATTTAAATATTTAGCACTATCACTAAAAATAAAGACGCTTTTACAATTTGCATCCCAAGTGCAACTGCTTTGAAAGTGAGACTGAGAAGCTCTTTGACTGACTTGGTTTCTTCTTATTTTGTTACATTATCGTCCGCTGCTGTGAAAGGCATGCCGTGATCTGTGGGTTCATTAGTTCAGTAGCAAAATATCACATAAACGGAAAGGATTTTAATGAAACTCTAAGAACRCAATTGTTAGGCATGCATCTAAAACTGAAGAGCCTTCCAAGTCAACTTGAATAAAATCGGCCATCATAACTACTTATTCTGATGAAACACAAGAACAGTTGTGTTGCAGTTATTAAGCCAATATTTCACGTGTTAGTTGCTGAGAGTCAACCTTAATGTACTCTGAGTGCCAAAATACTTGATTAAAATTCTGGCATGTGGTCAATAGATGATACAGTATGTACTGCTTCTAGGAATACTAGTTTCATTTAGGATGATTCAGGTGAGCAACGTTGGAGTTAAAGACCCCTTTTAATGCAYATGCTCMAAGTCAGTATTCTGCAGTGCACTGTGGTCCACACTGGTTCATGCCTTTTATTTATTGTTTGTGTATTTTGTTACTGATATATGGCCTCTTAAACGTGTAACAATTTTTCATCTTYGTATTCACTTTTATCCAGCTGGTTCGAATGTTATCAGTCCATTAAATGGACRTTATTAGCGGTTATCAGTCCCATAGAATGGCTTCAGACTGTCCCRACAGTGCCCCCTAGTGGGTTACCAGTGCCATATCTGTTGAAATGCAACAATCCACTACCACSGGAGTTCGGTCTACTTTATCGTAGCCCATGTCTTTTTCTCTAAATTTAACCTTGGTGGTTTTATGCCTCATTTTAACCAGATTGCATAAAAAAAATTAGTGGCTTTATGCCTCATACTAACCAGCTGACAGTCTGAAGCCATTCTATGGGACGGAGAACCCACAAGGCCGCACAGTCAGGACAGTCTGAAGCCAGTCTGAAGCCAGTCTGAAGCCATTTTATGGGACTGATAAAGGCTAATAACATCCATTTAATGGATGATAACATCCGAAGYGGGTGCTTTTATCGTTGGTTGTTAGTCCAAACCAGTGACTCCCAACTTATTTTCTTCTTACTTCCAAGCCAAGCTGAGCCCCACTCCATGCCTCGCTACTCTCCCCATCTCTTTATTTTGCGAGAATAAAAGAATAAAGTACAAACTTTTATTTGGAAAATAAAAAAAAGAGTTATGCAATAAATTGACATTTTCAATGCGCCCAAGTTGGAAACCACTGGTCTAAACCAATGCTTTGGTTGTGCTCTGCAGTCGTTGGGACACATTGCACAGCAATAAATACGTTTGTATATGAAAGTCATTAGAAGAGTAGATGTAAAGGACCAAATGACTAGAGTTGAACGCCAACCTTAAATACCAGAAGTAGATATGAATTTGGCCTGATTTGACGCTCATAACTACAAAAACGTCCATGCTCCCAACATGCACTTCTCTTCTATWCAACTGTTTGCAAACGTGTTTATTTGTGTATTAGATGGTTAACGCTTCCAACAACCAGGTTAGGTCAGCACTGAGCCGACTGCTCGGRCCCACACAACACAGCTGCCATAAAAAGGGACGAAACGTAACAACGGCGTCACGCACATCACACGTCTTTCATTAAGCCCATTTAATCAGAGCACGAGCGCGGGGCAGTGAAGTGGAAAGTAAAAAAGGATTGTAAAACCGGTTGTAAAATGTCAGGCTTGGAGTTAAAAGCCTGTGCTTTGKTTTTTGTTTTTTTTTCTTACCTGGAACATGTCTGTATTGCTGTCATGGGTGTACTCCACCACCACCGTCTGGGCTCGGGACAGAGTGTACGAGATGCTGTGCTGGTCTTTGTTGCTTATGGCCTGATGAGACAAAAGGACGAGAGAGACGGTGAACAAAAAATAAATTAAAAAAATCTGAATCTGAAATCAGACGCTTCACAAGATTTGCCAAGAAGCCTGAGTTTGATTTAATGTGAGGGGAGAAAAAAAAACAGCTTAAACATCTGCTTAGTGCACAGATTGCCAAAGAGRGCTGGGTGAAGGTTTCAGCTGTGTGGACACTTACTGGACCTAACATTGTTTGGTCAGCAGAGACCACCCACAGGACTGAAAGAAGACTCTTCCATGTTGTTTAAGTTACTGCAGATAATAGCCTKTGAGTGTGAAAGTGTGTGTTCTGGGGACAGATGTTCAACCAGAACTGAAAGGAAGGATTTCCCACACAAGTTTTACGACTATTTAACAGCGGTCAGAGGATTTCAGTGCCCCGAACGCCTCACACCTATTTCTCTTGTAAACCCGTTCTACGAGTTTCAGTTAAACGCTGTGTAAAAACACCATTTTTCTAACCTTGTACCTGCTTCTGTTCAATTTTCTTTGCAATCGTTTTCTTGCTGTCTGTTTGATGGGAGTGCGTGTTTGTGATTCATTGTGTGCTGGACTTGAGTATGACAGAACAAAAAGCAGACTTTCAGGAAAGCCTTAGCTGAAGCAGCCAAATCCACAGAGCTGGGCGCGTTTTATTTGCTGTTGTCAGAGAAACAAAATCGCACCTCAGAAAATACGATCAGTGCTGGGATAAAAGAAAAATTTCTTGCAATTAAATATGTGTTTTGGAGCTTTATTTTTTGATTGATAGAGTCGGTCCATAAAAGCTGTCTTAAGACATAAATCACTGTGTTCCTTTTTGGCTCTAAGGAGGAGGAGTTTTATTAGTTTGATGACAAACGATGTTCGTTGTGTTTTGTTTACCTTGGCTGCTTGTGGAGAGCAGGCCACGTGAACTGTGCTGGGTTTCACCCCGTTTGCCTTCGGTCTCTTATAAAGTGCAAACCGGCTTTTGCGTCGGCCTCGGTCCCCATTGGGCAGAGAACCGTTGTACCTGCACACACAAACACACACGCAATACACAAAACAATGAGGCCATTATTGTCTAAGCCGCTGCACAATAAACAGGGATAAGAGTCGTTGAGGAAAACGCTGCAGGCGCTTCACTCCTAAAGCTCCAACTCCGCAGCCTGTACTTTTCATCTGAACAGGAGCACGTCGTGTCCCCGCGAACAACAAAGTCCTCCAAACATAACCCCAGAAAAGTCAGAGAAAATAAACACGCTCACAGAGACTCATTTAGCCCTGATACACGGTTGAAGAATAAACAGAGGCGTTCCCGTCCACAGAATGGACTCTCTGTGGCTCTCAGCTGCACTGACTGCACTGTTGTCTCTGTGAGCGCTCGTCTGACAGAGATTTTCTTGTTTAATGTGCTAAAAAATATAAAAGTTACTTTTACAAACAGAGCGGTGATTTGAATGTATTGCAAAGCACGTTTCAGATAGGAAACGCCACAGTTTTATAAACAGTCACGACATCCAGAACTCCTCTGATTTCTCTCAGGCGCTGACTCTGTCGTTTTAAATGCATGTAGAAACTCAAAAGACTAAAATCTAAGTTTGCACAAACTCATAACTGTCATGGCAACAAATGTCTTTGAACTTTTCCTTTTTTTTACAGGGAGTGCAATTGCGTAACATGCTTCCTTTCAACAGATTTGTAGCAAAACTTTTTACTTAATGTGGGTTTCATGACATCAGCATAATCAGAAACTGCACAAACATTTAGACTTTGTTGTGGCAGCATCATGTTCTGAGGTTCTATTGCCGCCAGACAAACAGGAAACTTCCAACAAGACTGAAAATTAAGAAAATTTCTAGAAAGAAATGATCAAATTCACCACACTCCTATAGCAACATTCACCTCAAATGATTTTTATAGCTTTTTTATTCAAAGACATATTTACGTTTATTTTTTTACTTTGGGATYGGGATAAATAAAGCAGGCTAAGTCTGTGTTACGGTCCAGAGGAAAACATGCAAACTGTATTTAAAAGTTATTCTGTGTTCATAAATTATATCAAACCAGAACTCTGTAAGAGGCTTTTTGACAGGTACCAAAAAACAATTCAGGTACGCAACTTCAAACAGGAAATTCAACTAAATACTAGGAATGTATATAAATCACCTCATTTTCATTTCAGAAAACCTCTATTGAAATTCAGTTTTTACTTTCTAAAAAGGCTTAACACGTTTTCTGGACCTAAAAGTAACATTAAACATGTTAAAAAGTGATACTTTTAGATGATTTTGCCCACTAATGATGAGTTTATGAACTCAGCAGACCCTTGGCAAAATATATAAGTAAAATAAATAATACAACAGATTTATGTGCTTCAATGTTAGCTGGTATTAGCAAGTAATCACCAGTCCTTTGCAAAATGTCTTTTTCCACCCTTTTCCCTGATTTTTTTTTCCTGATTAAAGCACAAAACACCTGACTAGAAATGTGTCCGAAATAAGATAATTTTCTTGAAATGATAAAAAAAATGTTCTGAATCTTATGTGTTGTCTAAATAAGAATCAAAGGTGGTTATTGAGAAAAACAATAAATACATGCAACATTAAAGTGCCTGTGACATGTCTATATATCAAATACAAAAAGTCAAAGAAAATACATTTTTATATAAGAAACCGTGCATAAAACGTGTGATTTTACCCATTTTGTCACATAAATAGCATATTTTCTTTTGAACTTGGCTCAACCAAAGTGCAACAGGAAGTGACATCAAAGGGGAACTTTTTAAGAAACAGAACTCTGTAATCTTTGTTTATTGAAACAATAATATTTGAACTCTGACTCGTCTTCATTTCTCTCTGATAGCRACTCAAAATAATCTAAAGAAACATCGGAATCTTCTCTACAGTCTTTAATCGTGTTTCCATCCAATTACATCCAATTTTAATTCAAATTTTGAGCTAATTTTAATAATTTCGCAAAAAGGAAAAAATTATGTGAATCAAACTGAGTTTCCATCAACTGGCTTGAAACGAATCAATTACGTCATACGCATGTACGTAGTAAACAGGAAGTAACCGTCGCTAAACTCGCAGGGTCCACACATCTCAGGATTATGGAGAGAAGTTATCAGGAACGCATTGCTACTACCAGGAAAGTTGTAATTATTCTGTTATCAAATAGTTTTGGCGATGTTACTTCTGTCTGGAGGCGTAGAGAAAGAAATGCAATTTTCTTCACGTTACGGGATTGATGAGAAGACGCCGGGAGGAGGGTTMTGCTKCCAGTCGCGGCTGCAGCCGACCCGAAAMTGATACCGGTACCRKGGAACAGCTGATCAGCTWYGTGAGGTAAATGTTCGCTACGTCACWACTTATTCGGCAAAAGTGTTTCCATCTCTCCTTTTGCCCATTAAGTGTTTTTCGAAAAACCCAAAAACCACCTCAAGCGAGCATAAAAACTTTTTAGCGAATTGAGGATTTTTTTTCGAATTTTGCTGTTTCCATCGACTTTTTTTTTCGCATTTTTAATGCGACACTTCTAAATGTGCATCAAAAAGCCTTGATGGAAACACACTTTGTGTCGTTAGCTATTTTATCAATGCTTTGTTCYGTGCAGACATTCCCCTTTGACATCACTTCCTGTTCCTTCACATGCAAATATCTCAACAACTGTTCATGTCAGCAGCAGGAAATTATTCCTGCAATAAGTTAATAATGTTATCTTTCCAATAATGCCTTTATATTTATTTTACAAATGTCATGTCACAGGCACTTTAAGACTTACACACCTAAACACATTTATCCCTTAAGTTTGTTTTCAAAACTCTTTTTTTCATACAGATAGCTCAGATTTTGAAAAATAACTATAAAAGGTAAATAAACTGTAAGGACTGGTCAAGCAACTTAGACATAAAGTGTGCCCTAATGTCTTGAAGTGGTGTAAAATATATAAGAGAGCTCAGCGCAGCTGGAACGTGTCTTTGACCAATCAGACGCCTGAAACAAACCCACCCTCTGTCCTGAGTCCAGTAAAGACAGCTCAGGCATGTTTGTGAGGAGCCCAGTCTCCCACTAAACGTTTGGAGGGAGCAGAAGCACTAAAATCAAACAACGCTGCGAGGTTTGTGTGTAACCATGGTGAGAGAGCAGAGTCACGGCAACGTTTGGGAAGAGTAACCATGGCAAGGGAGTCACCATGGTGAAGTTTAGCCCGTATCTACAGAGAGGGCAGGGCCGACGTGCAGGAGAGAGTTGAAAGGGCTGCAGGCTGTCCAAAACCAGGATCCTGTGGGTAACAGAACCGTGTGCGTGTGCGCACATGCATTCAAATATTCCCAAAACAAGAGCGGAAAGGGCAAAGGTTAGAAAGAAGTGCGTTTGTGTTCATGAGTGTGTTCATACACAACATGTTCAAACAGAGAGGCAGGAAGAACCAGAGCAAGGAAAAACTGTGTGCCAATTCACACACACACCAGGTTTGTTATGTCTAACAATTAGTGTGTGTGCCTCCTTTAAACACCCATAAATTAAAGCCCAGCGAGCAACAACAAACTACCACTTCTTAAATAAACCTACAATAACTTAAAAACCAGTTGTGTCTGTAATCACTGCTCAGTTCTCCTCTGTGTCTGCTGGGATGTCTTAAATCTACAATAATACTGAACAGACCCAAGAAGCTGCTCAGTATTTACTCATTTTTAAATATTCCTGAGTAAATCAACAATATAATGACAAGAAGCTTTGCTTAAAAAAAACGCCTGACGCCTTGCATGTCAAGGTTTCAAACAAGGATCTGAAGCTACCTGTTAGAGCTCAGGTCATGTGCTGGGGATGACTCTGGTACTACTCCCTGCTCATGTCTGAATTTTCATTACAAAAATTAAACAAGAATACAACATTGAGACATACAAGATAYATGACCTGTGCTGCCAAACTTAGTCAGAATGAGGTTGTAATGCAAAAATAAGTAATATTTTCCCTAAATGAGGTCTGCAAAACATCTCCATAAAGACAAAATCTAGTGATTTAGTTAGCTAAAATTACTGATATTCCTCCTAGTTTACCTTTAATTTAAATCTAAATATCTAAATAATAAATAAAATCTGTTTTTTATTTTATTATTAATTTTTTTTTGGTTAGGTTGGATGGTAATTTGAACTTAAAGTGAAAATGGTGTACTTTTTGAAAATATTAAAATAGAAATTTAAGTTATTATCTCCAGCTTCACATGTATTTTTGGAGCTTTATTAATTATTAACATTTGAGCCCTTCAGGCCTTAGTGGAGTTCATATGTAAAAAATACTGATATTTTCTACATGACACACTCTCACCACAAACTGAATAGTGATTATTTTATTTTCACTTTATTGGCAGGTTATTYAAGACCTTTGTTTATGCTTCTGTTTTGCTTAGATTATTTTTATTTTTTTATTTATTTTAAAAAATTATTCATTTAATTTAAAAATGAAACAAATGCTATACATACAACAAATAATAATACAAAACCCAAATAAAATGAAAGGTAGCAGAAAGAAGAAAAAATTCTTGATGGTTTGGTTCTTTGGTGGTTTATGAAAGTTTGAGRTGTCTGACTCTGTCCTTTATTGTGCAAGTGTGGCCAAAAACGTACACATATTTGCTATTGTATGTGAGGTTAGACAACATTCCACCACCATTTTTTTTACATGTGAAGCRCAGTGAATTTGTGGGAAACAAACAAGGAGATATGTATTCAAATTATGCATTATATAGATTTAAAAGAAATTGGTTTTGCAGGATCTTTTAAAGAGAATCAGCTTTGGAACAAATGGCAGTAATGATATATCTTTTATAAGCTTAATGTAGCTACATTCATATCAGAGGTTTTTGTTTTTATGTTTACAGCGACAAACATAATTTGGCCATGGATGATGCAACTCTCCATGTCAGTTTCCATGACCTAATTAGGCTTTATATTACAGATTAATGAAAGTCAGCAGTCTTGTCTTGCAGAGTATCGGTGCAACAGAGATAGATTCTCTTCGCTGTAGT